TCTATTTTTTGACCTCTCGTCTCATATGTTTTCCCAGGAGTACATTTTGAAAATTTAAAAGCAACTTGGTGTGCTTTAAATTTAGTGTTCAAAGAAACCAAACCACCTTTTCTGACTTCTTTGGACAGATGATGGACTTCCCAAACCAGAACTAATATCCTGGATTGAACAGGGGAAAGAGTTCTTCAAGAACTGGGGAGAATCACAGAAATCAGGAAACATAATTTGCTCTTCTGCTGGTTTGCAATTTGATCCAGTTATCGAGGGTCATCAGTTTCAGGGTAAGTATTAAGAAATTAGGGCCCTGCCTTAAGACATCATGCTCCATTTGTTCCAGTTCTCTGATCTCATCTTCCTGTTTGGCTGGGCTAAGGCTGGACATCTGGTGTACTCTAGAGAAACACAGTAAAGTACAGTGGTTAGAAGTGTGGGTTCTAGAGTCTGAGTCTGGATCTTGTCTTTTCTGGGGCACCTTTGGCAAGTTGTTCAGCCTCTCAGTATTTCAATTTCCTGACTTATAAAATGAAGATAATAAAAGTACCTACATTATAGGACTATATAGGTTAACATATGTAAAGTGTTAAAGTGATACCTGGCACACACTAAGAGCTCAGTAAATGTGAGCTGTTGTTAGTAGTAGGTAGGGCGAGGGGGATGGTGGCAGGAATCAGAGACTGGTTATCCACATTCTAGTGACCAAAATTGCTTCCTTCCTATCTGGAGACTGTTGACTCTACTTGAATACCTAAAACTCAGCTCTCCTCTGTTGTTTCTTTTTATGATGGGACAGTCTGAGATTTTTGGATTCTTTTTAAATATTTATGTATTTATTTATTAGAGAGAGTGAGAACGAGCAGGGGGCAGGGCAGAGGGAGAGAATTTCAAGCAGATTCTCTGCTGAGTGTGGAGCCCAACTTGGGGCTTGATCTCATGACCCGAGCCGAAATCAAGAGTTGGATGCTCAACCGACTGAGCCACTCAGGTGCCCCTGAGATTTTTGGATTCTTAAAAGTCAGCAGTAAAGTATGGAATGAGAAAGCCAATGGGAGCATCATTCCAAGAAATCTTGTCAATAGTTTGTTGAGTTTTTTGTTGCTTCTTTCTGGCCAGTAAGAGAGTTTTGCTCCACAAATTATTTCACTTTTTGCCATGTGTTATCAATTCTTCCAAGAAACCTTTTTAAAAGGTTTGTGGGCATAGGGGTGAAGAGGGGGGAGCAGAGGCCAGGCCCTGCTGCCTGGCCTTAGGGACAGCCCCTGGGTCATGACTGTGGTGTTAGGGTCTGTTAGTGACAGTGCCATCATCACTTGTTGACTCCAGGAATGTCTGCACATCAAAATGGTACAAATGTGATGGTCCTGTGGTCATGGTGGTGGTGAGTCCTTACAGGTGCATGCAGTATGCCAGGCACGTGCTCAGCACCGTACGTGCAGGATCTCACCTAATAACCATGACAATCATACGTCCTGTTGCTTCCCTGTGTCTACAGGAGAAGGAATCGAAGCCAAGAGAGATTAGCTTGACAAAGGCTGCACAGTGGAGAGCTGGGATTTGAACCAGACAGCCTGATTCCAAAACTTAGGCCCTATGTTTGAGATCTATATTTTCCTCTTTTTTTTTTTTTAAAGATTTTATTTATTTATTTGAGAGAGAGAATGAGAGACAGCACGAGAGGGAGGAAGGTCAGAGGGAGAAGCAGACTCCCTGCCGAGCAGGGAGCCCGATGCGGGACTCGATCCCAGGACTCCAGGATCATGACCTGAGCCGAAGGCAGTCGCTTAACCAACTGAGCCACCCAGGCGCCCCTCTTTTTTTTTTTTTTTTTTAAGATTTTATTTATTTATTTGAGAGAGAGAATGAGACAGAGAGAGAGAGCATGAGATGGGGGAGGATCAGAGGGAGAAGCAGACTCCCTGCTGAGCAGGGAGCCTGATGCGGGGACTCGATCCCGGGACTCCAGGATCACGACCTGAGCCGAAGGCAGTCGCTTAACCCGACTGAGCCATCCAGGCGCCCCTCCTCTTTTTTTTTTTAAGTTTAATTTATTTAAGTAATCTCTACACCCAACATGAGGCTTGAACTCATGACCCTGAGATCAAGAGCCATATGCTCTTTCGACTGACTAAGCCAGCCAGGCGCCCCTATATTTTCCTTTTTTTTTTTTTTAAAGATTTTATTTATTTATTTGACAGAGAGAGAGAACACAAGTAGGCAGAGTGGCAGGCAGAGAGAGAAGGAGAAGCAGGCTTCCCGCCGAGCAGGGAGCCCAACGCGGGGCTCCATCCCAGGACCCTGGGATCATGACCTGAGCCGAAGGCAGACACTTAACTGACTGAGCCACCCAGGCACCCTATATTTTCCTTTTTTAAGATATGTTTTTTTCAGTTTAGCTTCAGCAGACTTCTTACCAAACTCTCAGCCATGAAATAGAACGACAGTTGAAATGTCCCTGGTTGTGGATTTCCGTGGGAGCTGGGTTCCCTGGCCACCAGACATCACCATGAACTGCTCCCTCTCCTGGTGACATAAGCCTTTAGTCATGCCACAGACAGGAATACTGACTGAATTTTTGTTTTCCATTTCAGGAAGCCAACAAGCTGTGCATTCAGGAGAGGCTGAACGCCATTTCCAGCTGGATCCCCGAGAAGGCCAGTGCCCCCCTGAACCCTCAGGAGGAGGAGGGGAAGATGGTGCCTTCAGGCCTGCCCAAACCATGGCCCTCCTGAGCCCACACAGACATGCCGCACAGGCTCCACTTCCAGTAGTCCACAGCTCCGGGGAGCCCACCCAGAGAGAGGGAATCCCAAGTCCCAGAGCGCCGGGGCTCCCTGGCTTGCAGGAGGCCTGCTGCGGGGAGGGCACCCAGCACCCTTGCGCTGTCTGCGGGGAGAACTTTTGGAAGGAGGACCACTCAGAGAAGCACCAGAGGAGCCACCTGCAGGACCAGCCATGGAGGTCCTGGAAGAAATTCAGCAAACAGACCGCCCCGCAGCAACAGCGGAGCATCCGTCAGGGTCCCAGGCGCTTCCGGTGTCCTGACTGTGGGCGGAGCTTCCACCGGAAGCAGTGTTTGCTCGGCCACGTGGCTGGCCACGCAGGGCAGAGCCCGCTGCCCTGCCCGCAGAAGCACACCCTTCTCGGCCACTGCGTCCGGCACAAGGGGGAGAGGCCTTCCCGGTGCCCCAAATGTGACGGGAGCTTTCTCTCGAAGAGCAGCAAGCAGGCTCGCCAGGGCCAGCCCGGCAGGGAGAGGCTAGGCTCCTGGAGAGGAGGCGATGGCGCCTTCCCCGGGAAGGCTGAGGCGGCCGGGGAGGCTCCCCCGCGCCGCCCCCCCGGGGAGAGGCCCTTCTCCTGCGCGGAGTGTGGTAAGCGCTTCCCCGCGAGGTCCAAGCTCGCCAGCCACCTCAGGGTGCACACGGGAGAGAAGCCCTTCCGGTGCCCGGAGTGCGACAAGAGCTTCCGCCTGAGCGGCCTGCTGAAGGTGCACCAGCGCGTGCACAGCGGCGAGCGGCCGTTCTCCTGCCGCAAGTGCGGCAAGGCCTTCGCCAAGCGCTGGAAACTCACCGAGCACAGCCGAGTCCACAGCGGGGAGAAGCCCTTCTGGTGCGCCGAGTGTGGCAGGAGCTTCCGCCAGCGGGGACAGCTGCTGAGGCACCAGCGCCTGCACACCGACGAGAAGCCCTTCCAGTGCCCCGAGTGTGAGCTGAGCTTCCGCCTCAAGAGCATGCTGCGGGCGCATCGGCTCCGCCACAGCGGGGAGAGGCCCTTCTCCTGCGGCGAGTGTGGCCGAGGCTTCACCCACCAGTGCAAGCTCCGGGAGCACCTGAGGGTGCACAGCGGGGAGAGGCCCTTCCGGTGCCCCGAGTGTGACAAGAGCTTCCGCCTGAAGGGCATCCTGAAGGCGCACCAGCGCACGCACAGCAAGGAGAGGCCCTTCTCGTGCGGCGAGTGTGGCAAGGGCTTCACCAGGCAGTCCAAGCTCACCGAGCACTTCCGCGTGCACAGCGGGGAGAGGCCCTTCCGGTGCCCCACCTGCGACAGGAGCTTCCGCCTGAAGGGGCAGCTGCTGAGTCACCAGCGCCTGCACACGGGGGAGAGACCCTTCCAGTGCCCCGAGTGCGGCAAGAGCTACCGCGTGAAGGCCGACATGAAGGCCCACCAGCTGCTGCACGGCGGGGAGATGCCCTTCTCCTGCGAGTGTGGCAAGGGCTTTGCCAAGCAGTCCAAGCTCATCGAACACGTCAGGACCCACACCGGGGAGAAGCCTTTCCAGTGTCCCAAGTGTGACAAGAGTTTCCGCTTGAAGGCTCAGCTGCTCAGCCACCAGGGCCTGCACACGGGGGAGAGACCTTTCCGCTGCCCCGAGTGTGGTAAGAACTTTCGGGAAAAGGGACACATGCTTCGGCACCAGCGCATACACAGGCCTGAGAGGCCATTTGCCTGCGGCGACTGTGGTAAGGGCTTCATTTATAAGTCTAAACTGGCCGAACACATCAGGGTGCACACGAAATCCTACAGCGCTCCAAGTGAGCCTGACATTAAGAAGAGGCTCAGCCAGCTGTTTGCAATGATCGAGGCTGACTGGAGTTGAGGCCGTGGAGGGCATCCGGAGCCTTCGGCGGAGTCCGTGTGGCCTGGGAATCCACAGCGGCCCCAGCCAAACCCACCGGGAGACAGATTTTAGGAACGGGGCCCCCTTTTGAGCAAGAATGTAACGCGAGTTAGGAATATGAGAAACCACACAGGATTTTCTCGGTTAGCTCATCACCTGTTATATCTCCTGTCTTCTGATGAAAGAGATACCTGTTCTTCCTGCCGTCTTAAGTGGTAATTTCCCCGCAAATGCTAAGCTAGCTCTGAAATCCCAGCTTGAACTAAGACAGTCAGTCCCTCCAGTACTGTTCTCAAAGCTCTTAAACATCCACTTGACTCTTTTTCACAGTGTGACCCTAAACTGGGGGGTTTCAATCCAGTGGATTTTGTTGCAGGCCTGATACGATGTTGGATTTGGTTTTGATTAATTTATTTTGAAACTGATAGCAATAAAACGAGCTCTCTGAATCCCAGTCTGTCTGTCCATGTGAATGCTGAGGTCTCACGGCAGCTTCCACAGTGGTTGTGCATAGTTCCCCCTAAGGAAAAGCGGATAATTTCAGCAAAGTTTGGCTCATCTGAGTTGAAGAAACATAAAAAGCAGGGGTGCTAAGATCTATGGGGCTAGAATATAGATACAAGATGGGTTTGGGAGCTGCAGAACAGACGCTTTTGGAAGCCAAGACCGTGAACGGGATTCTGAGTGACCAAGCGGTGACCAAATCTGAGTAGAAACAAAATTACAAAGCCAAGGGACGCCTGGCTGGCTCAGTTGGTAGAGTGTGCGACTCCTGATCTCGGGGTTGTGAGTTCGGGCCCCGTGTTGGGTATAGAGATTACTTAAACATAAAACCTTCTGGAAAAAAGTAACAAAACCAAATAGCTTTGTCATGCAGCACTACAGGCAACAACAGTGTAGCGCGGAGAATTTTCAAGCAAATGTTAAAAAAAGTAAACATGATACAAGTAGTACAAGTAGAAGTCCAGGAACCTACCCCATTTGTTACATAAGGTGAAGGCTGCGTGAGCACAGAATATATGTACTTCAGGGACAGAACTACATTCCGTTCAAAGAAATCCTGACTTCAGAGGGTTCGTATTTCGTGAAAAGACCTGAAATTCTGGGGCACCTGGGTGACTCAGTCGGTTAGGCGTCTGCCTTTCACTCAGGTCATGATCTTGGGGTTCTGGGATCGAGCCCCGCGTGAGGCTCTCTGCTTAGTCTGCTTCTTCACTCTGTCTCTCTCAAATAAATAAATCTTAAAAAAAAAAGACCTGAAATTCTGAGGGATGACAGAAAATGAGATTGTCACTAAACTACAACGTGTCACACATGATTTCTCTGGAACACTGGCTCCAAAGATTCTTTTTTTAAAAAGGGAAAGAGGGGAGCCTGGGTGGCTCATTCAGTTAAGCCTCTGACTTGATTTTTTGGCTCAGGTTGTGAGATCAAGCCCCACGTTGGGCTCCATGTTGGGTATGGAACCTGATTAAGATTCTTCTCCCTCTGCCCCTCCCCACCTTGCACTCTCCCTCTCTAAAAAAAATAAAAAATTTAAGGGTGCCTGGGTGGCTCAGTCGTTAAGTGTCTGCCTTTGGCTCAGTTCATGATCCCAGGGTCCTGGAATCAAGCCCCACATCGGGCTCCCTGCTCTGCGGGAAGCCTGCTTCTCCCTCTCCGACTCCCCCTGCTTGTGTTCCCTCTCTCGCTAGCTCTCTCTCTGTCAATAAATAAAATCTTTAAAAAAAAATTGAGAAAAGGAAAGAACTACATGGCCAATTAAAGTAAAACAGTTCTCACCCACACACACACCCCCACACACAGTCTATGGCTCTCCCAGAGGAAGACCTGATGTGTAGTATTTTCTTATATTGTGAATATATTTGACCTTGGGATTCTTTTTCAAAAACATTTACTATGATCTTGTGGACGTAGAGTTCTGCAGGATTCATTTTGTAAAACATTATTGAAGAGCAAGCACGCTCGGCTCCATTAAGACATTAAAATGTCTGTTGTGTTCACGGGACAGCCGGCCTCAAAAAGCGTGGAGTTAGACTCAACATAAGCAAAGAAGGGATAGAGGCCGTGCTGCAGGTGAATGCCCATACTGGGGACCCAGAGAGTAGGAAGTGATCATGAACCCAGCAGGGGTTTCAAGGGAGACTGAAGGCCAGAGACTCTAGGTTGCTGTTCTTACCTATTGCCTGGTACAATTGCAGGATCTCAGAGATGGTAAAAGACTCAGAGTGTTTCAAGTGTTGTTAAAAACTGAAGGCGTTTTGGAAAATGTCAAGAAAAAGGGTAAGATCCAACTAAACCCAAGTACCCTAGGCTGCTCACACTCAACATGAAAAACAGGTCCCAGAGTGGTACTTAAAGAAGAGAGAGATTCTGGAAAAGAAGGTATCATAAGCACAGGTTCATAAACTTCCTTTTCTATCCTGCCCAAAATACCCAAAAAGAAAAATCCATGCTGAGATATCCTGCAGAAATCCCTGAATTTCAAGAATAAGGAAAGATGCCTACAAGTATCCAAAAAACAATCCCATCACCTCCAAAAGAATAATAAATCTGACTGGCCCAACAATGAAGATCATACTAAAAGGGACAGAATGGTTTTTTAAAAAATTTCCATTAAGGGGCGCCTGGGTGGCTCAGATGGTTAAGCGTCTGCCTTCGGCTCAGGTCATGATCCCAGGGTCCTGGGATCGAGTCCCACATTGGGCTCCTTGTTCCTTGGGAGCCTGCTTCTCTCTCTCTCTCTCTCTGTCTCTCATGAATAAATAAATAAATAAAATCTTTAAAAAAAAAAATTCCATTAAGGTCAAGAAGGCAATGGTCTCTGCTGAGCCATTACTTAACATTACGGAATGCGTTCTATTATTGTATACCTGGATCATCCAAGAGAATCACCTAAATAACCATCACAAGTAAGAAAAACATCCTATTCACAAAAGCCCAGTCACTGTCTTGACTCAAGATGAGAACCAAGTACACTCATTTGTTTTCTGCCTCTGGATATCCCAGTAATATTACAGTAAAGGAATTTTTTTATATAAATCCACAACCATGAAGAGAACTCAGAGGAAACCATCAGTGGATGAGAAAGTTCAACAGATTCCAGAAAGTTATTGGCAGAATGGCATCTAATGAAGGGAAGCGGAGTCACCACAAGCAGGAAGAGGCAGAAAGGGGACTGAGGCTTGGAGGAGTGTGACTGGTTGAGCAGATGCTCAGCCCGGGAGCCAGGCAGGATGGAAGTCCAAGACCAGGGCAATTACCTAAAAGTCTGTCAGTGACTAGTCAGGCCCTCCTTCCACTACCATCATCAGCAGCACCAGAAAGGCAAAGGGAAAGATGCAAGGGGTGTTGTTTAACAGATTTGTGAGTTTGGAGCTCAGAGCAGATGTCTGGACTAAAGAAAGAAACATGGTCATCAGCATTAAATATTTAAACTCCCTGGCACTGAAATCACCTAGAGCTCGAGAGTAGACAAAGGAGAAGGGAGGACCAAGTCCTCAGTAACCCTAATAATTTGAGGGTCAACAGATTTGGAGAAGTAGGGAAAGAGAACAAAAAGGAGGGAACTGTGAGGTGGGAGGGATCCTAGGAAGGAGTGGTGCCTCGGCAGCCAAACAAGGAGAATATTCCAAGAAGCAGGACAACAGAGATGAGTTCTGCTGAGAAGTTTGGTGCAATAAGAGCAAAGAAGTGGCCAGAAGATTTGGCAACATCGAGGTAGATATTGACCTAGACAAGAACACTTTCCTTTGTGTTGGAGCAGAAAGGCAGACCTTGGCTGACTGGTACACGGTGTGAATAAGGAATTGGAGACAGGCTGTATAAAGAACTCTTTCCAGAAGTTTAGTTTAAAATGGAGCAGAGAAATTGACAGTAGCTGAAAAAGTTACTGTTATTGATACTAGAGCAAATCTGCCTGCTAATGGGGAAGGATTCTAAAAGGAGAGTGAAGATGTAGCAGAGGAAAGACAGCTGTGCAGGTAGAGGAATTGGCCTTCAGTGGGGGAGAGACACTTTTCCCAAGTAACTGGAGGACAGGAGAGGTTGCTACCACAAATATAATTTGGTTGTAGAATTGGGGGTTCACATCTGATGACTTTTTCTTTAGCTAAGAGAGAATAAGGGAAATTAGAGGAGAAACATGAAAATATGAGTCACCTGAATCCTTGAAAAATTGATCCGTTGGGAGTAAATTATCTCCAGTAGCATCTGGTAGGATGTCTTACATAGAGCAAACTCAGTAAGCCGAGCTGAGTATCTCAAGGGAATCTGGAAATTTCTGACTGGTGTAGAAATTTGAACAGAAATTTGCACAGCAGATCCCCAAAATCTATGAGAGAGGGGGAGAGTTTGAAACATTAGTGAGAATTTTAGGGACAAGAGGAAGTACTTTTTCCAGAAGTTTTTATCTTAGAGGCATAAGCAAAAAATAGAGATGGAAATTTTTTTTTTAAAGATTTTATTTATTTATTTGAGAGAGAGAGAATGAGAGACAGAGAGCACAAGAGGGAAGAGGGTCAGAGGGAGAAGCAGACCCCCCGCCGAGCAGGGAGCCTGATGCGGGACTCGATCCCGGGACTCCAGGATCATGACCTGAGCCGAAGGCAGTCGCTCAACCAACTGAGCCACCCAGGCGCCCGAGATGGAAATTTATTTGGCTGAATTGGTGAGTGTCACAGTAGAAGGCTTTTTTTTTTTTTTTTAAGATTTTATTTATTTGTCAGGGAGAGAGAGAGAGCACAAGCAGGGGGAGCAGCAGGTTCCCCACTGAGCAAGGAGCCCAATGGCGCACTCGATCCCAGGACCCTGGGATCATGACCTGAGCTGAAGGCAGATGCTTAACCAACTGAGCCATCCAGGCGTCCCCAGTAGAAGCCTTCTTTTCTTTTCTTTTTTTTTTTTTATTATGTTATGTTAGTCACCATTCAGTACTTCATTAGTTTTTGACACAGTGTTCCATGATTCATTGTTTGCGAATAACACCCAGTGCTCCTTGCAATATGTGCCCTCCTTAATACCCATCACTGGGCTAACCACCTCCTCCCCTAGAAGTAGAAGGCTCCTAAGCGAAACTAAAATATGCCTAACTTCCAAAGTTGGTGACAAGTTATGTAAGGTATTCCTTGAATGAGCCCTTTCTATTGCTTCCTGTTGCCTTAGCATTTCTCAGAAAACTCTTTTGGCCTATTTTCTATAAGCTAGATAGTATATGGTGTAAGTCTCTCCTCTCGCCCCACTTAACACCTTGATCACGAGTTTCCTTTGCTGTAACCAATATAGGCTCTGAGGAGGCCTTTTAAGAGCACAGAGATCTAGGACATTGCAGTTTTCTTTTAAAGTAATAGTTTCCTGGGGCGCCTGGGTGACCCAGGCGGTTAATTGGCTGCCTTCGGCTTGGGTCATGATCCCGGGGTCCTGGGCTGAGTCCCGCATGGAGCTCCTTGCTCAGCGGAGAGTCGGCTTCTCCCTTTTTCTCTCACTCTGCCTCTCCCCCTGCGTGTGCACTCGCTCGCTCTCTCACTCTCTCTCAAATAAATAAATAAAATCTTAAAAAAAAAAATTTTTTTTTAAACCAAAGTAATAGTTCCCAGGGGCACCTGGGTGGCTCAGTCCGGTAAGCATCTGCCTTCCTCTCAGGTGATGATCCCAGGGTGCTGGGATCGAGCCCCACACCTTTGGCCATAGGGCCCCTTCCCCAGTTCGCCTCCCTTATCAGGCCCCTCCCACACCTCCTGGCTCCTCATAGAAGCTGGAGGAGTTGCTCTGAGCCCAAGGCAGCCCAAACCTTTCCCGAAACGACCAAACGTGAAAACCACCACGGTGGACAGGTGAGTGGCAGAGAGGTGGATAGAGTAGTGAATGGCTACGCAGTGACGCACAATTTCCTTTTGAAAAGCGGCAATCTGGGGCAAGAACAATTGAAGCAGAAAAAGGAACGTTATACAGGATCCAATTCCCTGACTTCTATGTGATCAATTTCAGATCTAACCTTGTGTAGCCCTCAAAGGAGGAAAGGTCATAGCTGTGGAGAATCTGGTGCAATTCCAGTTCTCCCAGTCCAGGGAGCAGAGGAGATCCGGATGCTGTTAAAACAAGCACAGAGCTGCCCGAGGCCGCCGGAGCAATCTGCTCCTCCCACCCGCAGGCGGCGCTGTGGGAGCCCAGTTCACGCGCAGGAAAGGCAACGTTCCCAGGATGCCCTGCGTATCTCCAGGGCGACGGCCGCCGCGGGACGGAGCTGACGGGCGCAGGCGCAGATTCCACCCCCGGGGCGGCTGCGGGAGCGGCTGCTGGACCGACCAGACCTCCCCAGTCGCACTACGCGGCCGCACTACGCCGGGCGGGGGCGGCGGCGGCGGCTGGGCCCGGGGGCGGGGCAACGTGCGCCCGGCGGAAGCCCGGTCTCCGGCCGGAGACCATCCCGGGGGCGGGACCGGCGGCTCGGCCCGGGGTCTCGGACCACGCAGACGCTGCAGGAGCCGTCGGGTGTGAGCGGTGACGTCTCGGTCGCGCAGAGGCGGTTGCCCGCGGTCGCAGGAGGGCAGCCGGCCGGGCCGGGCCGGTCGGACGATGACATCAGCCTGAGCTCGCGCTCTGGGGTCCGGAGAGGGCGGTGCAGGCACGTCCGTGCGCTCAGCCCAGGACTAAGTTCCATGAAGCAGAGACTGATTTTTTCTCGTTACCCATCGAGTGTATGGCCTCAGTGGGCGCTCTCCGAGCGCTTGGTGAAGCAATGAATTAATGAAAGAGTCCTGCTCATAGCCGCTGATTCTGTCGTCAGCCCCGGGCGCTCTGAGTGTCGCAGTTTCCCTGAAGCTCAGCTTGCATGTTGGTGAGGTGCGGAGTGGGAGAAAGAGGAACAGAGGAGATTATGGCTGAGAAAAGGAAATAAGTCCCGTTTGAAAATCATGTCATAACTTTTTTATTCAGTGAGAACGACTTACATGGGGAAAACACTCTCTTTCCTGCTGGGTAGGATGAGGAAGGATGTGGCCCTAAGAACTGCTCAACCAACATATGGAAGCAGAACTGAGAGACCGGGAAACCTCTTCCTTCACCTTATTTGAGCCCTGGGTTAAACTATGCCTGAACTTACACCACCCCTGGCTCTCCAGTTATGTGAACCGGAGACATCTCCCTCTTGTTTAAAATGTCTGGGAGTTGAGTTTTCGCTTACCAAATAAAGAGTCCCAAGAGACATGGAAATTGTTGACAGAAGGGGGTTTGCAGAGACTAAAATGTGGAATTGGCTGCAGAGAGAAAGTGGAGTGGAGGGAAGTAATGAGTGTCCTGGTCTGAGAAGTTGACCGTCTTCACTAGGTAGTAACCGTCACCTGTTGAATCCTGGGGCTCAGACCATGTACCTACTAGTATGTAGCACTGGGGCTTGAGGGGTAGAAAGAATGTTCAGGTGTTGCAGCTTGCTTGTTTCGGCCCTCAGTAAGTTTCTAGAAAAAAAAGAGCTTTAGGCTGTCAGGACCTTTATACTTTTCAAGAATACAGGACAGTTGTTTTGTAGAATGTGGGTGTGCCTGATGTATCTTCAGGATTAGGTTCGGATTATTTGTCTTTGGAGGGATAGCCAGGGAGCGGTGCTGTGTTCTCCCTGCATCTTATTGGGTAGCACATGATTTCAGTTCGTTCCATTACTGATGATGTTCACCTGGATCACTTAATTACGGTAATATCTGCCAGACTTCTCCACGGTGAAGTTGCTTTTTTCTTCTTTGTAATTATTAAATATGTGGTGATTTTGTGGGGACGTACTTGGAAACCATGTAAATATCCCACTCCTCATCAAATTTTCCATTTATTTAGCTATATATATATTTTTAAAGACTTCATTTATTTGACAGCGAGAGACAGAGCGAGAGAGGGAACACAAGCAGAGGGAGTAGGAGAGGGAGAAGCAGGCTTCCCGCTGAGCAGGGGGTTTGATGTGGGGCTCGATCCCAGGACCCTGGGATCATGACCCAAGCCTAAGGTAGACGCTTAACCGACTGAGCCACCCAGGTGCCCCAATTTAACTATGTATTTTATATCTATATGGACTCATAGTTTCCTATTCTCGTTTTATCCAATGGTTTATAAGCCTTTCCTATCAGTATTTATTGCGATACTCAAATTATTGCAAGTTTGGCCTGAAGGGGCCCCCCCTTACACAGGCGTCTGTGTCCTTTTGACCCGTTCCCATCATTCTCGAGCACCCTCCTTTGTTCTCTGGCACATGTTGTTCCAGGCGCATCTTCTGTTTTCCCTGTCTGAGCGCTGGAGCTGGACATTTCCACGAGGAGCCCTGGTTCCTTATAGTGGGCAGTGGATTAGAAGCCAAGATCTGGTGTTAGGTGTGCTCATTGCTACCCGAGTATTGCTACTCCCAGGCCTCTCAGTGGCTTGTACAAGGACATGCATACGTATAACACACACATGTTCACATGTGCACTCATTTCCCTTTCTTTTTAAAAATGCCTGCCCAGCAGCACTGCCAATTCCGATGTGACACCACAGTGTCCTTTCCAGTTTTGTCCCTTCTCATATTTGTAACTCTGTCTCAGACAGTAAGAAGCTTTGCACTCATTATCCTTAATATATTTATTTATCTGACCGGTCCCCCTGTATGTAACCCATCTCACGTGGCCACTTCCACTCCTTGCCCTGAGTGAATGCCCTCCTGGCCTCCCCCTGCAGCTTTGAGGCTCTGCTCCGGCCGCCCCACTCCCCTCCCATCTCCCGCTGGTGTGGATGTTTTCCTTACTGGGCTCCATTTAATGATTTTGGAGTGGGGTGGTTCAGGAAAGGAAGGGAAGAGAAAGAGGAAGGCAAGGAGAAGGCAGTGACAGTTCATGGAAATGGGTTAATGACAAAAGGAATCAATGTGGAAGTAGAAAAGATACACTGGAGATAATGTAATATGCAAGTGGCTATATGACTGAAATTAATCCCAAAAGTGAATCTAGAGTTATAGATTTGGGAATCATTTCAATAAGGGTGATTCTAATGCTATAAAAGGAGTAGTTAGGGGCGCCTGGGTGGCTCGGTTGAGCATCCGCCTCTTGATCTCAGCTCAGGTCATGACCTCAGGGTCGTGAGATCGAGCCCCGCGTCGTTGGGCTCTGAGCTCAGCAGAGAGTCTGCTTGAGATTCTCTCTCTCTCCCTCTGCCCCTCCACCTGCTCGCACGCTCTCTCTCTGTCTCAAATAAATAAATAGATCTTTAAAAAAAATTCGGAGTAGTTCACTGGGATCGTAAACATCAACAGCAAAGCGTGACAGCCACGAGCGGACGTTTGGAAAGCACCAGGTCAGAGGACAGCAGCAGGAAGGAAAGCAGTCCCATGCGTTGGGCAGGCGCTGATACAGCCAGGTACCGCCCCTGCCCTCGAGAACGCACAGTCTCGTGGGCAGAGAGAGGAATGCCCGGGCAGATACGGACAGTGGAGTGAGTGCCAGGCCAGAGGGAAAGCCCCAGGGGAGGGCAGCACACAGCGAGGGCACTTGACTGGAACTGGAGGGGCCCGGGAAGCTGTCCCAGAGAAACCGACTTCTCAGCTGAGCCTTGACCCCATGACAAGGGGAGGGCTGCTGCCCAAGTAGACTAGAAGTGGATAAAAATGCAGGCTGGATAGGCTAACAGAGCCAGGGAGGAGGGGAATGTTCCTTTTCCACAAAGGGGTCCGTGTGTGGTCCATGAAAGAAGGCGGTTTGGGAAGGAAGCAGATAAGACTCTCAATCAGGGGCGCCTGGCTGGGCTCGGTCGGTAGAGCCTGCAACTCTTGATCTGGGGTCGTGAGTTCGAGCCCCACATTGGGTCTAGAGATTACTTAAATAAATAAAAACTTAGGGCGCCTGGGTGGCTCAGTCATCAAGCATCTGCCTTCGGCTCAGGTCATGATCCGAGGGTCCTGGGATCAAGGCCCGCATCGGGCTCCCTGCTCGGCGGGAAGCCTCTCCCTGTGTTTCTCTCTGTCAAATAAATAAAAAAGAACGAAAAGAAAGCTCTAAATAAATAAATAAATGAAACCTTAAAAAAAAAAAAGATTCACACATGAGACAGCTGCGCCCCTCCGTCGGCGCCTCCCGGACCATGCGCCAGGTTCCGCACTGTCCTTACTGATGATGCGCCTGCTTTAGGATGCATCTGCTTCCTAAACTACACCCGGCCATTTCCTCCACTCCTCTCTGGGACTGTGCTGTCCAGCCTCTTAGAGCGAGAACGGCGGGAACTGCCCTTTGGTTCGGAGCAGAATGACTATTCGGTTACTCGGGTTAGATGCTGCTGAGAACTGTTAGCTGCAGTGTCCCGGGGCGGTGTTTCTGCTACGACCCTAAACACCATAACGTATCCACCACACCCAGCTTCTTAGTCACGTGGCAAGTGTGCCGATGGTTTTACTCTCCCTCCCTGGCACCCCTGGGTCCTCAGGTTGTTAGGTTTTCGTTTTGATTTTCTCTCTCCCAGTGTCTTGTGCGGTTGATAAAATATGGGAATTCCAGCACCCCGAAGGTGCTTTTGGACATAAAGTCGGAGGAAACGAATCCACCTCATGGTGGCCTTTCTGTGTAGACTCTGATAGTCCCAAACCAGACTTGATATCCCAGACTGAAATGGGGCGAGAGCCACTTCTTTGGGGATGGAGGAGCATGGAGATAGAAAAGGCAGTTCACTCCGATGCCGGTGAGCATGTGGGTTTGAAGAGCATCAGAGCGTGGCTGGTTTGGGTGTAAGAGCACCTACGTCTGAGACTCCGCATAGAGATCATACAAGTCCCTTTTCTTAGTCTCCTTGGCGTGGTGGTGGCCTTGGGGTTTGGGAAATGAAAGTGACTGAACTAGAGGAGAGAGCACATTCCTCTTCTAGATAGGAATAAAAGATGCTGGTTTGTTCACTGACTGATTTGTAAAGATGATATCAAAAAAGGACAAAAACCCTAAAACGTGGGCGCCTGGGTGGCTCAGTTGGTTAAACGACTGCCTTCGGCTCAGGTCATGATCCTGGAGTCCCGGGATCGAGTCCCGCATCGGGCTCCCTGCTCAGTGGGGAGTCTGCTTCTCCCTCTGACCCTCCTCCCTCTCATGCTGTCTCTCATTCTCTCTCTCTCAAATAAATAAATAAAATCTTTAAAAACAAAAACAAAAAAACCCCTAAAACGTGACCAAGACTTCATCTCTAGAGATAAGCTGAAGGTAGAGTTCCCCTTCAAAGGCAACTGATGCTTTCTCGTATATACGATATATCATATCATATATCATATCAGTGCCATGGTCAAATTGTAATTTACATTTAGAAACGTGGACATAGACTGTACTTTCGTTTTTGTTTTTTAATGTTTGGGGTTTCTGCCACTGATTTCTGAGAAGTTAAAAC